CCCTGCACCCAACAAGGTTTGCTACATCACTTTCCTTTACCCAAAATGTCTACAACATAATATAGATTGGCTTTACCCAACCATTCCGCTACATAGCTTGCCCTTACCCAAAGGCTTTGCCAACTAGGCTTTTGTTTACCCACCGCGTTTGCTATATGACTGTCCTTTAGCTAAAACATCTGCCAGATAGTTGTGCTTTACTCAAGACATATTGTGCTAGAAGCACTAGAACTCAGATCAACATGTTATGAAACATACAGATGTGCCAAGCAATGTGCTAGACACACATTAGCAACCATGGGTCAGACTTTTCTACACATATACTAAACTGATGCTAGGAATGCTATTCCCCACACACATGATTAACACATTCATGCTAGTAAAAGTGGCTACATGCTAAAACAAGCATGCTACAGCAATGCCACACAAATTTCCATGCATACTTGAAACCAACTACATGTGTACTAGAACATGATAGTCAACACAGAGCTCAAATAACAATAGATGGAATCTCAAGCATGTGCTAGACAACCACCAGAACAAACGCACAAAGAGCACTTGCACAGCGTCGTGACCTCTTCCCTAAGAGGGGTTCCACCCTTCAACAACAACAAGTACCAACTTGTATGTGTGATTTGCTATTGTGTGGCTACGCCCTTGTATAAATGTGTCGGAATTGTGCTCTGAGAGTGTGACTGTGTGAGTGTGGTTCTGTGGTTTGGCTGTGTAGGTGTTTGTGTGGGCATGTGATGCAAGGTGCATGGTGCATGATGAATAAATGTGCACGGATTAGTTCTTGAAAAGCTATGCAGCTGTGTGATGGCACTGGAGCTGGACTCAGCCTCACTGTGTTGGCGCGACTGCGTGGGCACGTGTTTGCACATGTCTGCGCATGTCATGGGCTGTGTGTGTGTGTGTGCGTGTGTGGGTGGGTGGTGTTTGTGTTTGTTTGTTTGTTTGTGTGTGTGTGTGCGTGTGCACGCGTGCGTGCGCGTGCGCGCGTGAACGTGTGCGTGTGCGTGCGCGCGTGCGTGTGCGTGCGTGCGTACGCGCGTGCGCGTGTGTGTGTGTGTGTTGCATGCTTGCATACCAAAACCTTGGCGCAATGCACTTCGCCATATTGTACGCAATCTTCCCAACCACCCACCCCCCCCGTCTCCAAAGGCAGCACATGTGTGGCATATTGAAGACACCTGCCCAGGAGGAAGAAAAACAAGTGCGTTCAGAATTTATCAGACCTCACGTGCAAGTTGGAGCATCCTTCTGGCCCCGTGCCAAGAGCACCCGGCTGGGTCGGTCTTTGGGCTGGATTGCTCAAGTTCACTTTGCTCAGCCATGGGAAAAACGGAGTACACAAGTGGGCCTCAGACCAAAAGCTGGTGCCCCGGCTAACCAGAAGAGGGCACCTCTTCCATCATGAAAAGCTAGCAACCCCCTTGGCAGGCCAAAAGCGAAATGAGCCCTTGACCAAGAGGCCTGCTTATGGCGCTCCAAGGGGCAATCCATGGCACTGCCACAAAATACGATCTGTTTGGAATGACAGGGCCGAATGGGCAAGGAACTTGTTTTTGCGGTGAAAAGGATCCCAGCTAGAGGCTCGCGCCAGGGCGCAATCTTCAGGAGCTGCACCTGCGCCAATGGGCACGGATGCTTTCGCATTAGGCGGATTCGAAGGTTTGACCCCGGACGGTTCCTGGCGGATTCTTAAGTGTTTCTGCATCAGTTAGGGATGCCCTCTGGGAAATGGGACACCCTCCTATGGATCAGCTGTTTACTAGTCCTGGGTTCCACTCAAAAAATCCCATGATTAATTTCCTACTATTAGGGAATCGCTTCAAGCGAGGACGTTCGTCTCCCCAAGGCAAAGCAAAAACCCGCAAATAGCAGCCTCACCCAGCTAGAGCACAGGTAGAAAATCCAAGATCAGCGAGGGACTAGGGACAAGTTGGGGGGTGAGTGGCCCAAAGCGGGCAGTGTGCTGAAAACAAATCCGGAAAATGCAAACAAATACTAGGAAGTGAGCAGGAACAAGCAATGTCATTGTCATAGACCAAGAGCTAACTTCTGAGCAAATCAAGTCGAAGAAAGCTGCTGCTGCAGCGTGGGCAGCTGCAAAGGGGGTGGCTTGAGTTGGGGTCTGCTGCTTCGTGAAATTTGATAGCTTTGGGTGTTTGGTTTCTTGTGGCAGCGTGCCTGGTGCAAAGACTGTCTGTTTGAGCACAACACACTGTTCTGACCGTGGCAGGTGTATGAACTTGCAAGAAGGGATCTCGCTGTTTTAGCCAAACGATAAGCGCCATTAACCGTGATACTTGGTGGGCTGCTGCGTGAGTTTTATGGCATTCAGCTACCTTTTGGAAAACAATGGGGCCTTCTTAAAGAGGGCTTCTACACTGAGGGGTCACTCCATTTTCTCACATTTTGAAGTAGTGTCACTATTTGACCTGTGCCTTATTTGATTGAGGCTCAACTCCAGCCGGAGTCTTCGGTGGTTGGGGGCTGGCAGGGTCTCAAGGGAAATGTCCGCATCCCGCGCCTTGCATGCCATGACGCCGCTGGACTCGTCGCAGGCTTTGTACCGCGCCTGGCCGAGAGCGAACAAGTCGAGTGTCCCTCTTATTCACGCATAGCTGAATCAAACTGCACAGATTGACATGGAACCCCAAAAAAAACAAAGCTTACAACAATTCCCGTTTGGGCTGCATGTGACTTGGCAGGACCACATGTTGTGCACATTCGGGCCCAGGCAAACTACAAGGCACTCCTGCTGGTACCTATTCTCCGAGGCAAAGCGGTAATTGTTCAAGGAAGTCATGCTTACGAGTTTTGGCGGCGGATCTTCATACTTTGAAAGCCCGCTCCAAATGTGTCCCAACCAGCACGATTGCCATGCTAATACCGCAAATTGCTCACGTGTCGCCCTTTCAGCTCTGGTTGGCTCCTACACGAAAGCTCATCGAGAGATCGCCTTTGCAAGCAAAGGCCCACCTTCCACCGGGTTCCAAAAAGGAAGCATGCAGCCAGCAACAGTGCCCATCTTGCTGCATTACTTCAAATCTAATCCAAAAACCTCCCCAACAAAACAAGACCATTTGCTCCCCTGCACAAACACAAAAGAACAAATCGACAAAAAAGAACCCGGACTCGGATGTTACCCTTTTCGAACCATGGCTGCACCAAGGCTGAACTAAATGTCGACAGGTCAACACACACACACACACAAACAAAAACAAACGCGGGCGTGCCTTTGTTGCGGACCCCGCCTTTGGTTTGAATGAAGAACAACTGTTTTGGGGCATGGTACAAAACCAATTTGACCCACACAATGCACATACGACACCCCCTCCCTCTCTCATCCTCCCACCCCCCTGCCCCTCCCCTGCGGACCCCGCCTCTGCTTCAATCAGCGGAGGGAAGTGCTCCTGGCGAGATCGGGGTGGCTGGAGGGGGTCCCATGGTCCAGCCTTGCGCGTCGTATAATTTCATGTCCTTCATCACTTTAAACTCTAGCATGCTTCCCGTATCTCTTTTCATTTGTTCCTTGCCAGGTTCACATTCTAGTATTGAGGTTGCTTCCAAGCATCTGGCATCTGCTGTTAGAAAGTTTCATTGGCTTGCGAAATCCTGTTGACTTCACCAAAACATCTCGGGGCGCCGGATCTTCTGGGGGCGGCAGTCGCTTGGTGATCCCTTTGCCCCATTTGGTAGATTTAAACATCACCCCTTAGGGCTTTTCAAGCGAGTTTCCTTTGGGGTGATGTTTGCATGGGGTTGGCATGGGAAGCCCGATCCACACACGCATCGCCAACTTGACACAACGGCAGGAAAGCGCAAAGGGCTTTTTGCCAAGTTCTATCTCGCTGACCATTGCTCGGGATGCTCGTTATTCAGTTGCTAAAGGCTCTCTGGCAAAAAAAAGTTGCTCAGAGTTCGAAAGTTTGCTGTGGACAAATGCACACCAGCAGCGCATGCAAGGGAATGATAGCTGTATTGCCCGGAGGCGGACGTTGAATCAAAATGAATAGGCTTGTGCCTCCAAATTGTTGGTTTGCTTGCGAACTCCTGGCAAGCCATGGAGAACAAGGAAACAAATGCCACATGCAACAAGGCGCCCTGAAAGAACAACCAGGAAGGGGTCTCTTGCCCCTAGTCCGGTGCGAAGTGGCTCGAGACTTTGCACATCTTGCCCACAAAATCCCGCTCAACGAAGGTTGCCCCGCCGGAGCTGAGACACGCGCACTGCAGCCGCAGTTGAAGGCGCTGAAGAACAAACTTGTCGCTCAGCCAAGCGCTGGCGCAACATAATTAGTGCAAACCCCATCCCCGCTCCTTGGTGAGCATGCCAGGATCTGCAACCTGCGCAGGTGCGGGCACGTTGCTGGAATATGCATTTTTATCGCAATCATGTGTCAATTTGGCAACTGTGGACAGTAGAGCTGCATAGAAGGGCGCCACACCCTATTGTCCACCCCCCCCAGGCGCTCCTGCTCCCGCAATCTCAACACGATCAGGTTGCTGTTTCCTAAGCAAATCCCAGCTCTGACAAGAACAAAAGTGTTGATGCTCAACATCTGCATAAGGAGGATTGGACGGGAAGCAACATGGAGATCCACATTTCGGGCGGACACCGCACTTGACGGGAGTGGATCAGCAAATTGCCGTGCGTCCATTTCTCCACTACCATCTGCCGTGCCAATCGGTAACTCCTAGTGAGCGAACATCCTGTGATTTTGCTCAGCTCGTTGAAGCTCAAGGGCACCTCCCCTTTCCTTGGATGGCGTTCGCTATTGGCTCCTACACGCAGTGTATGAGTTGTGTGTTTCCCGGTGTGCGCGTAGCCTACAAGGAATGGGGAGGTAACCCCTTGAGATTCAACGAGCCTGTATGAATTCAATTCAGTTCAGGAAGAAACTTGACGCTGAGCATTCGGGAAACCCTCTTCGGTTGCCTTTCAGCACAAAGCCAAACATTTCCGACACCTGATCTAGCGTGTTCCGGCTTTAAGCGGTTGGCCGTGAAGCTGCCATATCGGACCCTGACCCCTGGAAATACACAAGCCCTCACCCCTCAACTTGCTCTATGGATTTGTCTGCAAATGGAAAGGGGTGGTTTCTTCTTGTTTCCCTCTTTTATAAACCCCGACCGAACGTGAGGGGGTCCGTATGGTTGACACTTCGAATCTAATTTGCAACCACTGTCCTTTTAGGTTGGTTTAGTGTTCGTGTCCCCCCCCCCCACACCAAAAAAAAAAAAAAACCTCCAACACAAGACACAGACCGCGTGTTTTTCGGGGCACCTGGCCTCTTCGTCTCTCAGCAGCGGCACCACAGCATCGTCACTCAACGAGCCGCTGCCCATGCCGAAATGGTCCGGCTGGCAGGCGACGGGCGAGGGGAAGAAGGGGGCAGAAACTCGCTCTCAAACTTATAGTTCCCCAGCGGTTGGTTGGTTGGACTCTCAAACTTATAGTTACCCAGCGGTTGGTTGGTTGGACTCTCAAACTTGTAGTTACCCAGCGGTTGGTTGGTTGGACTCTCAAACTTGTAGTTATCCAGCGGTTGGTTGGTTGGACTCTCAAACTTATAAATACCCAGCGGTTGGTTGGTTGGACTCTCAAACTTGAAGTTACCCAGCGGTTGGTTGGTTGGACTCTCAGACTGGCAAACTTATAGTTACCCAGCGGTTGGTTGGTTGGACTCTCAAACTTATAGTTACCCAGCGGTTGGTTGGTTGGACTCTCAAACTTATAGTTACCCAGCGGTTGGTTGGTTGGACTCTCAAACTTATAGATACCCAGCGGTTGGTTGGTTGGACTCTCAAACTTATAGTTACCCAGCGGTTGGTTGGTTGGACTCTCAAACTTATAGTTACCCAGCGGTTGGTTGGTTGGACTCTCAGACTGGCAAACTTATAGTTACCCAGCGGTTGGTTGGTTGGACTCTTCCACTGAAAGTTACCCAGCGCTTGGTTGGTTGGACTCTCAAACTTATAGTTACCCAGCGGTTGGTTGGTTGGACTCTCAAACTTATAGATACCCAGCGGTTGGTTGGTTGGACTCTCAAGCTTCTAGTTACCCAGCGGTTGGTTGGTTGGTTGGTTGGAGTCTCAAACTTATAGTTTCCCAGCGGTTGGTTGGTTGGACTCTCAAACTTATAGTTACCCAGCGGTTGGTTGGTTGGACTCTCAAACTTATAGTTACCCAGCGGTTGGTTGGTTGGACTCTCAAACTCATAGTCACCCAGCGGTTGGTTGGTTGGACTCTCAAACTTATAGTTACCCAGCGGTTGGTTGCTTGGACTCTCAAACTTATAGTTACCCAGCGGTTGGTTGGTTGGACTCTCAAGCTTATAGTTACCCAGCGGTTGGTTGGTTGGTTGGACTCTCAACTTATCGTTACCTAGCGGTTGGTTGGTTGGACTCTCAAACTTATAGTTACCCAGCGGTTGGTTGGTTGGTTGGACTCTCAAACTTATAGTTACCCAGCGGTTGGTTGGTTGGACTCTCAAACTGATTGTTACCCAGCGATTCGTTGGTTGGACTCTCAAACTTGTAGTTACCCAGCGGTTGGTTGGTTGGAGTCTCAAACTTATAGTTTCCCAGCGGTTGGTTGGTTGGACTCTCAAACCTATGGTTACCCAGCGGTTGGTTGGTGGGACTCTCAAACTTATAGTTACCCAGCGGTTGGTTGGTTGGACTCTCAAGCTTGTAGTTACCCAGCGGTTGGTTGGTTGGACTCTCAAACTTGTATTTGCCCAGCGGTTGGTTGGTTGGACTGTCAAACTTATAGTTACCCGGCGGTTGGTTGGTTGGACTCTCAAACTTATAGTTGCCGAGCGGTTGGTTGGTTGGCTCTCAAACTTATAGTTGCCCAGCGGTTGGTTGGTGGGACTCTCAAACTTATAGTCTACCAGCGGTTAGTTGCTTGGACACTCAAACTTATAGTTGGAGTTACCCAGCGGTTGGTTGGACTCTCAAACTTATAGTTAACCAGCGGTTGGTTGCTTGGACACTCAAACTTATAGTTATAGTCACCCAGCGGTTGGTTGGACTCTCAAACTTATAGTTACCGAGCGGTTGGTTGGTTGGACTCTCAAACTTATAGTTACCCAGCGGTTGGTTGGTTGGACACTCAAACTTATAGTTACCCAGCGGTTGGTTGGTTGGACTCTCAAACTTATTGTTGCCCAGCGGTTGGTTGGTTGGACTCTCAAACTTGTAGCTACCCAGCGGCTGGTGGGTTGGACTCTCAAACTTGTAGTTACCCAGTGCTTGGTTGGTTGGACTCTCAAACTTACACTTACCCAGCGGTTGGTTGGTTGAACTCTCAAACTTGTAGTTACCCAGCGGTTGTACTCAGCGGCTGGTTGGTTGGACTCTCAAACCTACAGTTACCCAGCGGTTGGTTGGTTGGACTCTCAAACTTATAGTTATAGTTACCCAGCGGTTGGTTGGACTCTCAAACTTATAGTTACCGAGCGGTTGGTTGGTTGGACTGTCAAACTTATGGTTACCCAGCGGTTGGTGGGTTGGACTCTCAAACATATGGTTACCCAGCGGTTGGTTGGTTGGACTCTCAAACTTATAGTTACCCAGCGGTTGGTTGCTTGGACTCTCAAACTTATAGTTACCCAGCGGTTGGTTGGTTGGACTCTCAAACTTGTAGTTACCCAGCGGTTGGTTGGTTGAACACTCAAACTTATAGTTATAGTTACCCAGCAGTTGGTTGGTTGGACTCTTCCACTGAAAGTTACCCAGCGCTTGGTTGGTTGGACTCTCAAACTTATAGTTACCCAGCGGTTGGTTGGTTGGACTCTCAAACTTATAGTTACCCAGCGGTTGGTTGGTTGGACTCTCAAGCTTCTAGTTACCCAGCGGTTGGTTGGTTGGACTCTCAAACTTATAGTTACCTAGCGGTTGGTTGGTTGGACTCTCAAACTTATAGTTACCCAGCGGTTGGTTGGTTGGTTGGTTGGACTCTGAAACTTATAGTTACCCAGCGGTTGGTTGGTTGGACTGTCAAACTTATAGTTACCCAGCGGTTGTTTGGTTGGACTCTCAAACTTATAGTTACCCAGCGGTTGGTTGCTTGGACTCTCAAACTTATAGTTACCCAGCGGTTGGTTGGTTGGACTCTCAAACTTGTAGTTACCCAGCGGTTGGTTGGTTGAACACTCAAACTTATAGTTATAGTTACCCAGCAGTTGGTTGGTTGGACTCTTCCACTGAAAGTTACCCAGCGCTTGGTTGGTTGGACTCTCAAACTTATAGTTACCCAGCGGCTGGTTGGTTGGACTCTCAAACCTATAGTTACCCAGCGGTTGGTTGGTTGGACTCTCAAACTTATAGTTATAGTTACCCAGCGGTTGGTTGGACTCTCAAACTTATAGTTACCCAGCGGTTGGTTGGTTGGACTTTTAAACTTATAGTTACCCAGCGGTTGGTTGGTTGGACTCTCAAACTTATAGTTACCCAGCGGTTGGTTGGTTTGTTGGTTGGACTCTCAAACTTATAGTTACCCAGCGGTTGGTTGGTTGGACTGTCAAACTTATAGTTACCCAGCGGTTGTTTGGTTGGACTCTCAAACTTGTAGTTACCCAGCGGTTGGTTGGTTGGTTGGAGTCTCAAACTTATAGTTTCCCAGCGGTTGGTTGGTTGGACTCTCAAACCTATGGTTACCCAGCGGTTGGTTGGTTGGACTCTCAAACTTATAGTTACCCAGCGGTTGGTTGGTTGGACTCTCAAACTTATGGTTACCCAGCGGTTGGTTGGTTGGACTCTCAAACTTATGCTTACCCAGCGGTTGGTTGGTTGGCTGGTTGATCAGTCGGTCGGTTGGTTGCTAGGCATTCGTTCCCAGCCGAGAACCGGCAGGGAATCAAAGGGTCTATGCAAACCACATGCATGTCGTTTCTGGTTGGGAACACGCTTAGGCAAGCAACACAGGAGCATGCTGGTGCCGAGTTTGGGGTCTATGTTGCGGACCCAGAGGGCAGTTCTCACAAAGAAAATCACTAAGTCTTAAACCCCAAGCGGCTGGATGGTCAAAGGAACTGCTCAGTGCAAGTAAAAGAGTTGTGCACAACCCTGGCACCTGGGCAGTTCAACCCCCTGTAACAAACCCTCCATGTCGGGCCGAAAAAGCGGCACTGCCTGCTCAATGCATGCAAGCTCCATGCTTAGATGTCCTATTCACCTGGCGGCCGAAACCCTATGGCAGTGAGCAAATGGAGGCCGCAAGGGATAATCCTTTCAAAATCATCCTGCCTGGATATGCGCGGATCCTTCACGATTTGCTACAACCTCACAACATCTACCACTTCACCAGCTGCTAGGCAGCAAACCCTCTCAACAAAAAACCGCGTCGAGCCAATTGTCTTCGCCCTACCCAACCTCCCACCTCCCCCCTCTCCAGCCCCTCCCATCCCTCCTTGACATCCCTCACATCCAGCTGCAGCTCCACCTCTCGGAGGTTCAGCAGGTCGGTGCGCCCGTCCAAGATCCGTAGCAGGGGCCCCTGCAGCTCCTGCAACGGCGGAGCCATGTCGGGACCTTGGGGCCTGGGGGTCTTGGGGTCATCAGTTGGTTGCATGATCCTCTCACACAAACGCAGGCCTCTGGTTTGTTCGCATGGTTGCGTGCGTGCAAGAAAAAAAAAGGAAAGACGGATATCCACCTCTTGGAGAGAGACATCCATCAGTGGGAAAAGAGCGCAGACCTGTGCAGTAAACTGCCCAGAGAGGAAGGCAGAGCCAGGTGCTGACCCCCTGACCCCTGATTCACATCCTCCTAGCTAATTATTCGTGGGAGCGATCCACTGGCAAAGCATCCCCGGTTCAACAGCAAATCTGCCTGATTAACCATTGGGCTTCTGGAAAGTTCCTCGGGCTGAAGCTGCTCCCGGCCCGTCCCCTTCTCGGCCTGGAAAGTGGAAAGGTTCGGCAGGAATCCAAACCTCTGCAGTAGGCGCAGCACATTCAGCACCTTGGCTCCCGTCAATCGATGTGGGTGACATAGATGTGGTTCGCCAAATCTGCGACCCCATGGCAACGATGTTCTTTCATTTAAAAGGTCCCCTCATAAGGGGGTCACATCTCGTTTCTGTGTTTGGTTGATTCCTTTTGGCTTCCCTCGAATTCCAGTCAGGGATTCCCCCCAAGAAAGGCACATCCATTTTCCATGAGCTGCATTCTGAGAACATAGCTGCAAACATCCAAAGGAACTCGATGAACAAACACTCCCTGCAAGGACGCAGTTGGAAGTTGGGCTTGAATGTCGCGGCCGGCAACGCGTTCTTCACATTCGGCCAAGCTTCTGAGAGCATCAAGGAGCTGTCCTATCGGCATGCTGGTTCAAACTCAGCGTCCAGCTGAACAAAATCAACGCCAAGTGTTGCTGGGCCCTACAAATGCAGTACTTGACAAGTGCTCGCCTAGAGCCTGCACATTTCTGTATGGCCTGGTCAAAGGTCGTGAAATGCAAATGCAAGCCCAGCAATCCCATCTCTGGAACAACACCAAGTTGTTGGAGGTGCGGGCAAAAGCGACGCAAAAAACAGTGTCCAAACATGCTCCCCAAAACCCAATGCCTCCTGCCCGAATGGCAGATTCCCACACCATCCCGACTTGCAATCGTGAAACAGGCGCGCACACATGCAAACAGACAAATGCACATACAGCTGCACACGAACAACCCCTGACACACTAACAGAGAGAAAGAGAGCAAGAGCGAGAGAGAGAGCCACAGACAGACAGACAGAGACAAACAGCCAGACAGCCAGACAGACAGACAGACAGACAGACAGAGAGAGAGAGAGACAGACAGACACACAGACAGACAGAGAGAGAGACAGAGACAGACAGAGACAGACAGAGACAGACAGAGACAGACAGAGACAGACAGAGACAGACACAGACAGACAGAGACAGACAGAGACAGACACAGACAGACAGACAGACAGACAGACAGACAGACAGACAGACAGACAGACAGACAGACAGACAGACAGACAGACAGACAGACAGACAGACAGACAGACAGACAGACAGACAGACAGACAGACAGACAGACAGACAGACAGACAGACAGACAGACAGACAGACAGACAGACAGACAGACAGACAGACAGACAGACAGACAGACAGACAGACAGACAGACAGACAGACAGACAGACAGACAGACAGACAGACAGACAGACAGACACAGACAGACAGACAGACAGACAGACAGACAGACAGACAGACAGACAGACAGACAGACAGACAGACAGACAGACAGACAGACAGACAGACAGACAGACAGACAGACAGACAGACAGACAGACAGACAGACAGACAGACAGACAGACAGACAGACAGACAGACAGACAGACAGACAGACAGACAGACAGACAGACAGACAGACAGACAGACAGACAGACAGACAGACAGACAGACAGACAGACAGACAGACAGACAGACAGACAGACAGACAGACAGACAGACAGACAGACAGACAGACAGACAGACAGACAGACAGACAGACAGACAGACAGACAGACAGACAGACAGACAGACAGACAGACAGACAGACAGACAGACAGACAGACACAGACAGACAGACAGACAGACAAACACAGACAGACAGACAGACAGACAGACAGGCAAACGGACGGGCAAACAAAGGCAGACAAGCAGAAGGCAGACAGGCACACAGACCCGCAGACGGACAGACAGACAGACAGGCAGACAGGCAGAGAAGCAAACGGACGGGCAGACAAATAGGCAGACAAGCAGAAGGCAGACAGGCACACAGACCCGCAGACGGACAGACAGACAGGCAGACAGGCAGACAAGCAAACGGACGGGCAGACAAATAGGCAGACAGGCAGAAGGCAGACAGGCGGACAGACACGCAGACGGACAGACAGACAGGCAGACAGGCAGACAGGCAGACAGGCAAACGGACGGGCAGACAAATAGGCAGACAGGCAGAAGGCAGACAGGCAGACAAACGGTCCAATGAAAACCCCCGAACCAGCATGCCTGTTTTTTTGTTGTTTTTTCTCCGGGTCTCAGGGGAAATCCCTTGAGGCCTCTTCCATTGAGGATCCCTGAAGGGGGTGTCCCTAGCGGCTTGGGTTACCGTGTTTTTCATTTATCCTAAGCTGCTCCCCCGGACTCAGCTGAAAGTGATTGAGCTGTTGAGCTATGGTTGGCATGGGAAATTTCTTGAGTCCCGTGAATGCGGCAAATTTCTTTCGTTGCCGCTGGGTCCCTCTCAAACTCACAAATGGACCATGGCCTACCCAAATTTTGACGAACCTCGATGACCAAGGCACATCTCATCTAGGGGTCGATTTTGTATTGAACAATTGATCTCCAACTGTCCCAAGCATCTGGCACTTCGGGGAGAAGGCCCCAATGGTTGCCTTTGCATGTTGCCCATCTAAAGGCGTGATGGGAAGGGTTGCAAGATTTACGCTGCTCACACGGAACGCCAAAACCCCAACTCTGCGAAACACCTTGGACGCAGAATCAAGCTGTGAGGTTCACTTGTCGCTCCAGCCCTCCATGCTTTTCAGGCTACAAGTTTGCCCCGTCGCTACGAAAGCCCAGCTTCAAGCTCAGTTGCCATTGCACCTGGCTGCTGTCACCCCTGATTCAGGAATAACAGCACAAGCATGATGGGCAGTTACTTGGATGTGCTGGACGTTCCTCAGCGCGGATTCAATGCTTTCTAGCTTCAAGGGATTCACCAAGCAATTGTCGTTTGCGTATCCTACTCGAACTCGGAACAAACGCGCACACACACACACAAATGAACACAGAGACACACACTCTGCGCTAGCGCCCCACAAGCCTCTGCTCCGCCCCTTTTGGTCCTCCATCTGCCCGTGCACCATCTGCTCCACCTCCCGGCCCGCGCACACATACTTCCGCACAGTGCGCAGCACGCTTTCCATCTTGTGGGCGGTGCCCAGCCCGTAGAACAGCCGGGTCCTAGGCCCAGTTTTGGTGTCACATGTGCAACCGAAGGCGCTGGTGCGCGGCTCGGGGCTTGGGCTCAAGGCCCTGAGGCTTAACAAGAGCAGTTTGGCCTAGGTTATTATAAGGCTCAAGGTCGAAGAGGTGGGAATGAGCCATCAAACACCTCTCAACCCAACGCATATGCCCAGCAAAAAAGCACAGCAGCCAAGCAGGCATCCCTCATCATTTTGGAGATGCTGTAGGTTCGCTTTATGCTGAAGTTGAGTCAGCGAGCACCACTTCAGGATTGCAGAACGTTTTGCCCGCCAACGGAACGACCCATCCCGCGGCCAACATCAGTGGTCAGGGAGAAGGACATTAAAACATTCCGCCCAATGACATTGATGGGGAAAAGAAACCAAATCCTCCTCGTGCCCCGTACAAACAATGCTTGTTTTTGGCGCGGGGGAGTGGACAGACTAAGCTTCAAATGCACAGTTAGATAATTCAGTGCAGCAAGGTCTGCTAAAAATGTCCCAAACATCTCCTCTCAGCTCGCATGCCAAAGGGCTCCTCTTGAAGTCTTGCTGCATGGTCCGCCTCGTGAACAACAAGGCAGTTCGGATGTCTGAAGTCGTGAGGCGAGCAGTTGACAAAATGGTGACCCTTTGTTGCTTCCTTGGGTGGGCGTTATGCGCAGCTTCATCTAAACCAGGCTTCCCGTTCATTTACATCTCACGTTTTGGTTGACTTCCGGCCCAGGCACATGCAGCAAGACCCCTTACATTGGCGGTTAGCAAACATGACCACAACCCACATACCATGCTACGACAGTGGCTTGTCACCACGATTGCGCGGCACCGGATACAGTTGGATCGAAAGCCCACCTGGACACCAAGGTAACTGGACGAAACGGGTTCTGGTTAGCAATGAGAGCCTGGAAGCTATTCAGTGCCAGTAGCCAAAAGCTAGGGGCCACTACAGTTATGTTTGTTGTTTATCGCTGTGTCTGTCCTTTGAAGTTGTAAATTGTGGGCACCTACATGCATAGAGAGAGAGAGGCAGAGATCTAGACATGTATCGAAACCATTTGTATAACAAAGGCGTTCATGCAACGTGCGTTTCTGTTAATAACAAATACATACATTTACCCGCTTCTGTGTGTGTGTGCGCGTGTGCGCACGTCGAAATCTGAACGGGAGTTGTCCAGTTCATGCATGCATTTCTATGCACATGTCCCAAAAGCCAGCAAACCGGGCGCCAACCCAACACGCGCCTGGAGGTTTCTAAGCCGCGATTTGATATTCCCGTGCCATGCGCCCAAAAGCCCCTTGCAATGATCTCCCTTTCATGGCTACATGATCTTGACCCATGGTCCAAAAGCCAGGTGCCGGGCAAGGTGCAATCTAGACGGCAAGGTTTCTTGCAACAGAAGCTGCCACATGTCTTCTCTGGCCCTTTGTGGCAAAAAAGGAAATGGCCCTGGCCTTCACACTGGCGCAAGCAAATGCCAAACCAATACCTGCGGTCAAACACAAACAAGAGCATACTCAAACATGCCAAAAGTCGAGGTACACCAGTGGGCAGAAATGGGCTGACTGCAATCAGCAAACAGGTCCAATTTGGCACCCCAAACACACGTGACATCTGCTTACAGCATCTTTTTTGCAGCGACCTTGCTGCCACCCTTTCACGCTCTGCCATTCACACCCTGGGATTCCGTTTTCGATTTTAGCACTGCCAATTTACTGTTGCCAATGCTAATTTGAGCAATACCACTACTAGCTTTGTCATTGCTAATGCTCATGCTTATTCAGCCAATACTAGATTTAGTGTTGCGAATCCTAAATCTAGCGTTGCCAGCACTAGCTTTAATATTGCGAGCATTGCCTGGACTAAAAATAGCATTGCCTCTCCTACATTCAGAATTGCAAGTACGAAAAAACAAAGCAACTTGTTGGTGTTCCACTTTTTGCCGGCCAAGATGCTGACCAAGAGTCGGGCGTGGCGGTGGCGCTCATGCTGATGAGCTCACCCAGGTCAAAGACTGGCAGCGATTCCTGCTTAAGGGGCGAGGTACGTTTGTAACCCTGGTTTTAACACACTTGGTGGACTTCATGGTAGGTTAGAACCACGTAGCCAGCTTCCGGCCCTTGCAAGCGCACTTCCTTGCAAAGGATTCCAAGAGGGGCCCCAGGGTTCTGGTTTCCTTCTTGGAAAAATCGAACTCATGGACTATTTATCACCCAGGTCTCGAAATAGCGCAAACTGAAAGTTGACGGCGTCCTTTAACTTCCCCTCAAAGCAACCCCTCTCCACAAAGCATACAAACTGTCATTGCAGGTGCTCAAGAATAGCACGTATGGCAAGTTCCTGGAGGGACCCCGTGCCAAGACGACAAAAACCGCCTGGACTGCTCACCAGGAGCCTTCTCCCCTAAGCCACCGGAAAGGAACATGTTGGTCCCCATCTTCAGCTACGAGCTTTGATGGGGGCTGATGTCCACCAACCACTTCATGAGGGTGGCCCCTATGAGAAACTCCTTCCCGTTCACGAAGCTGATTGCCACTTTGCTCAGCGATCTAAGCGCAAAGGGGGCAAGCTCCAAGTGGCAAGCTGCGTTGGCAACCGAGAGGCTCACCCGCCCCCCCCCCCCCCGAAGACCTTGCAATCATAGAGAAAGATTGGACTATACCTTTGATTTAATTTGGCTCAATTCAAACAAGGGGCTCGGCTCCTTTGTTCTTTGGTTCCCGTTAACTTTTTCCCCACATAGATGAAAGCTGTAGGGGTTCTAAATTCAAGTAAAGGGGGGTGGGTAAGACTCAGACTGCGCTGTTGCCAGGGTGCTGCTGCCGGCCGAGACTCAGCCCTGCTGCCCGAGACTCAGAGTTGAGCAGCGTGCTGTTGCGAGGTGTTGTTGCAAGGTGAAACTCAGAGTTGCGCAAGGTGCTGTTGCAAGGTGCTTTTGCAAGGTGCTGCTGCAGGCCGAGACTCAGAGTTGAGCAGGGTGCTGCAGGGTGCTGCTGCAGGCAGGGTGCTGTGGGGCGCTGCTGCGTTCAAGTAAAGGAGGGGTGGGTGAGACTGTTGCAGGCTGCTGCTGCGGCCGAGGCTCAGAGTTGCGCAGGGTGCTGTTGCAAGGCGCTGTTTGCTGCCGGGATGCTGCAGGGCGCCACGCAGACCAAGGATCAGAGTTGGGCAGGGTGCTGCAGGAAGCTGCTGCAGAGAGCTGCTGCAGGCCGAGAATACAGTTGCGCACGGTGCTGCAGGGGTGAGATTTAGAATTCCTGCCAGGTGCTGTTGCAAGGGCGAGGCAGGGTGCTGCTGCAAGCCGAGACTCAGAGTTGCGCAGGATGCTGCAGGGCGGGCGCTGTTGCAAGGTGCTGTTGCAAGGTGTTGTTGCAAGGTATTGTTGCAAGGTGCTGCGTTGCAGGCTGAGACTCAGGAGTTGCGCGGGGTGCTGCCAGGCGCCGCTGCGGGCGGAGATTTGGAGTTGCGCAGGGTGCTGTTGCAAGGTGCTGTTGCAAGGTGAGACTCAAGAAGTTGCGCAGGGCGCTGTTGCAAGGCGCTGCTGCCCGAGACTCAGAGTTGCAAGGGTGCTTCAGGGTGCTGCTGCAGGCCGAGACTCAGAGTTGGGCAGGGTGTTGCAGGGTCTCAAGAGTTGCGCACGAGGTGTTGTTGCAAGGTGTGGCTCAGAGTTGAGCACGGTGCTGCAGGGCGCCGCTGCGGGCCGAGACTCAGTGAGTTGCGTGGGGCGCTGTTGCAAGGCGCTGTTGCAAGGCGCTGTTGCAAGGCGATGTTGTGCAAGGCGCTGTTGCAAGGTGAGACTCAGAGTTGAGCAGGGTGCTGCAGGGTTGCTGCAGGGTGCTGCTGCTGGCCGAGACTCAGAGTTGCCGCAGGCCGAGACTCAGATTTGCGCTGGGTGCTGGGGCGCTGCTGCAGGCCAAGCTGCGCAAGACGCTGCTGTGCTTTGTGGTGGCTGCTTTGTTGTTGGAAAAATACTGTTGTGTATCTTGGCTGTAGGGTTGCTTGACGCTCATTCGCCCTCCTTGTTCCGCCTCAAACACGGCGCTATCTTTCTAGGGGTTCTAACTTCAGCACCCCGGCAGCAGCACCCTGCAACAGCGCCTAGCCGGAATTCTGAGTCTCACCCACCCCTGCTTTGCTTGACTCTTGCTGTTGCAGCGTGCTGTTGGAGCTAGCTGCTGCAGGCCGAGACTCGGAGTTGCGCAGGGCGCTGTTGCAAGGTGCTGCTGTAGAGTGCTGTTGCAGGCCGAGACTCCGAGTTGCGCATTGCGCTGCTGGGTGCAGGGCGCGTGTTGCAGGATGCTGTCGCAGGTAGCTTCTGGTTTCAGAGATGCGCAGGGTGCTGCTGCAGCGTGCTGGTGCTTCTGCAGGGCGGGGCTCGGAGTTGCGCAGGGTGTTGTTGGAGGGCGTTGTTGGGGTAGCTTTTGCTGGAGGGTGCTGTTGCAAGGCGAAGGCCGAGTGCTGCTGCAGGCCGAGACTCAACATGGTGCTGCTGCAGTGCCGGGTGTATGGGAATGGGTATCTTTAGTTCGTTGGCTGACCACACATTCTTGCTATCTGGGGTCTATGCTGGTATAATTTAGGTGTCCGAACGAGGCTGCAATTGCCACTGTCTGTCGTTTCCAAGCCAAACTCCTAAACACATGCTACACATCCTGCCAACAGGAACACAAATTGTTGCCAAAAGGGTATGTGTCAAAATATGGGTTTGGATGCCACAAAGCGATGGTTGTGCTTTTGGCCCCTCTTTGCACCACAGGGGGAAAAGGACCTCCAAAAAAACGCACCCAAATAGGTGTGGCTTGTTTTGCGGGTACCCTCTCAAAGCCCCCCTTGTCTGTTTTCCGCTTGCCCTTTGGCCCAGCCAGCAGTTCTCCTTCACCGCCATTGAAGGGTCAAAGCTGCGCATCAGCGCCGGCACTGCGATGAAGGCATGGGGGTAGCGGTCTAGCCACATGCTGGCGAGAAGGTCGAAGAAGGCAGCCTTGATGCCAAGCCCCCCTACCCAAAAGCTCACTCTCGCTTCCAGGCGCCCGCCCATAAGTGCTACTAATCCCAAGCGCACTTTTGCAGGCGCGTGGGAAAACAATCACCTTCCCAAAAAAAAATTGAAGATCCAACCCAAAGGCACTGAAGCGTGGAAAAGCCCAAGCCTCAAGGACCCAAGCCGAGGCGCGCGGAAGGTCGTGGGGAGCCTGGGGTCCGAGGCGCCGCAGAGGCACAGATTGAAGGAGTACTCCTGCGCATGTGTACTCCATGTGTACGTTTTGGAAACCTAGCCACCGAAAATCCGCCGACCTCAAACTGGTGTGAAGGTTGAAACTTTGGAACAACATGTTGTGAATTGACTTCGCAGTCTGCCAATCTTGCAATTTAGTCACCCATCTGCACGGGACATGCGGGGAATCGGAAAGATAACCATCCAAATGAGACGAACTCAGCCAGGAAAGGCCTTAATTGCATGGGGTGTCTCACAAAATATAGCACACACCGCTCCAAGTTTCTTTTGTGGGACTGGCTTTCAAAATGAGCCATGTCGCAGAGAAAGAAAAACCACCTGGTTCGCAGGTTGACCAAGCCCCACAGTAGGCTTCTTTGAGGATTTGGGGTCCGCCAAAGAGCTCCCAAAATGCAATCCGTTGCACCGGAAGCTCCTCCTGTAAGGACATGATGCAATTCATCTGTCGCTCCTCACGAGAGAATCTGACCGAGCTGAGTTTGGTCAGGCACCTAGCATATCCCTCAAGTTACCATAGCTAACTGGAGGGCTTCCTTGCACAAACAACATGCAATCACAACACTATGACACCTATATATAATGCCAGTGCTCGGTCAAGAATGTGAGCAAATGGCAGGACCGCGTATCATACATCTCTTACATGGAGCGCTAGGTGTTGCTTCTTCACTCGGAATGCACATGACCATCCTACACGGGTGTTCTTTGCTGGTGGATCAGTTTCAAATGAGGCGGTGGTGTCTAGCATGTAGCAGCAGGCTGGCCAGAAAGGAAGCTTTATTATATGAAGGCAGGGAACCCAGGCACCCCACCCTCACGGATTGCGTACCTCTCGAGATGGGAGCAACCTGCCGCACCCCTTGCGCGCGTGTCTTTTCTCTACCTTGCAAATGGCTCCAGGGCTTTCTGCAGGTCACACTTCTCCACTGGCCCATGTGGCATGACCTTGTGCTTGATGCAGAACATCTTCAGCATCTTCATACTCATCGTCTTCAGCTCCCCCAGCGCAAAGCTGTCCGCGGGAGCCGCGGGAGCCGCGGGAGCCGGAGCCGGAGCCGCGGGCGTCGGGGTCACCGCGCTGGGCGCCCGCGGGAGCGCCGAGGCCGAGATCGTGGAGGCGGCGGCCGGCGCCTCGCCCCGCGCGAAGGGCCGCAGCAGCGAAACCAAATCCGAGCGCTCCACGGGGCCGTGGGGCATCCGCCCGTAGCGGATGCAGTAGCTCTTCCTCGAAGAGCTAAGGAAACCCAAAGGAAACCGCCCGTTGAAGGCTCCTCGAATTTAGAGAACACAAATGGTTTTTCGGGGTGCCACATGACATCGTTGCGGTGGCGTGGCTCTCGTCAAGTTCGTCAACTGTCGATTGGAGACAGCTCTCGAGCAAGGTGCCCAACTCAAACATGAACAAACCTTGAAGGCAAGAACTAGTTGCATCATCGCTTTATGCTTATCCAAAGTCAGTAGAGTCATAGAGAACCTAAAAATGCGCTTCTCTCCGAGCCAGGGGGGAAGCAAAGGCGACCCAAGCCGGGCTGCAGCTTGCTCACGGACATGGTCTGGAGCTCCTCCAAGGTGAAACTCGGGAAGTTCTTGTCGACCTTGGCCAGCGGCAGCAAGGCCTTCTTTAGGTCCGACTTCTCCAAGGATCCGCTGGGCAATCGCCCGAACTGGATGCAATACATCTTCAGCTTGCCTGAGTTTTGGTCTGATGGGGAAGAGATCCCTAGCTGCGGGACCTGTCTGCAGAGGTGGGCAAGATGTCCAAGTTTCGGGAGCCCTATGAGGACCAAAGTTCCAAATGCGAAATATGTCCAAATTTGGAGCCTAAGTGACGGACCTTCGTGGCGAGCTCATTTCTCGGCGAGCTGGCCATAAACAAGGCAAAGGTTGGGGTCGTGCCAGTTTCGGTTTGAACCGACTCAACAGTCGTGTTTGAATGTGCCACCGTCAACAACTAACCAAAACGAGAAAATATTGGGAGCAAAACGAGCAAAAACTAGGACCGAAAAACAAGACACAAACTCGAACCGAAGCGATCTGGGGCCGATTCCGAAAACTAGGAGCGAATCGAGTAAAAAAAGAGAACAGGACCGAAACGAGCCGACAACTAGGACTGAAACGATGCTGTGCCCAACAAGAGCAGCTCAAAATGGTGAGCCCTCATCGCTGGTATCATTTATACAAAGGGAAACAACCATTTTGGGGGGACCCCTACTTTAAGAAACACCCATACAATTGCCAATATTTTCTTGCGCAGGCTGCTGATAGGCATCGTGTCCAGCTCGGTGGTCGTGAAACTTGGCAGATCCGGCCGGGCCTGCGTCGTTCTCCCCGGCGCCGCCGCGTTGGTTGTCGCCAGGCCCTTCACCACCGCCAAATGCTCCAACGCCTTCAGCAGATCTGTGCGCTCCACCATTCCCGGAGGCAGAACATGGTACCTGAGGCCAGCTCACAAAACGAGCCACCAAAAAAAAAAAAACGGAACCTGAGGCAGTCTCAGGTTTCATGCGTCATTTTCTTTGAAGGTACTGTTTGGTCCTTGAGACGTTGCCAAGTTTTTTTTTTTTTTTTTTTTTTTAAAAAAAAAAAGGCAAACGAGAGCGGAGGCGCTGGACACAGAGGTTCCGCAGGGTCTTGGACGGGTAGCCCTGCAGGTCCTCCTTGGTGAAACTCGGGGGCGGCGGTGGCTTTGCGGGCCTCGCCGGCTTTGCGGGCCGGTCCTTTTCCTTCTCCTTCCGCTCCCTGTGCGCCCTGGGCATGGCGGCTGTGACACCGACAAATTTGCAATTCCTGTGTCGACTGTGTTACTCGGGAGCCCCTTGGTATCAATGTGACCCTAGAACCCACCTTCCCGCATCCATGCTTCAGAGTTTCAGTTGTTTTTGGCATGCCAACATGCCAAGAATGACAAAGAAAGACTGGTGGTGGAAAACGCCCTGGTCGATCTGTGGTTCCATGCCTTCTTCTGCTTCGGCTGCGGCTCCGGCGTCTTCTCTCACTGGAGGAGGAGCTCTTTGCACTGCTGCTGCTGGCGCTGCTTTCGCTGCTCGACTCTTCAGCCTCCTTGTGGCTCTCCACTTCCTGCGTCCATCCCAACCCTGAACACTGGACCCCAACAAGCAGCCTTTACTCCCCAAAAGCAGAAGGGTCCTTGGATCCCCCCTACCAACAGGGGAAGAGGTGGGAGTGGGTGTCCCCCCCAATTCCACCTTTTTTTTTGTCTCCAGTCTTTCTCAGAAAAGGGCAGATGGAGCCATAAATAGAGGTCCCTCAAAAAATGTTCCCCTCCCCGATCCATCTTTAAATCTTGAAGGGACCTGGTGGAGCCCAATGTCCTTGGGCAAAACTGGGATCTCCGGCAGAGGGCCGGCGTCCATGCCGATCACGTTGGCCACCGCCCGTGCGAAGTAGGGCCCTTCCCACATGGCCAGCAGCAGTTTCTTCCGCAGCACCTGGGTCAGTCTCATGGGGAATCCCGCAAAGTAGCTTCTCTTTGTTTTCCTTTTTGGTTTCATTTTGGTTTTCTTTTTGGTAGTCCTTTCGACTTCCTTATGAACTTACCCCTTTGGGGGCCTCCCCGCTTAGGGGCCACACCTCGTCGTTCTTCAGAAGCGCCTCCACGTCGCCAGTGCCCTGGCGCCGGCTCGCGACGAAGAGGTCTGCCGTCACCTGCAGCGATCAACCAGCCTCTGGACGAAACGAAGACTGGTTGGATCAAGATTGATGTCATATGAAGATTGTTATGCACACTATATAAGATACGTACATAACATATGAGAACATAATATGTATATAATGTCTGCACATGAAACGAAGTATATAATATGCATATATCAATACATAATGGGTGTGTGTGTGTGTGTGTGTTTCGCTTTTGTAGGTCATCTACTTGCGCCACTTCCCCATCTGCCTGTGCTATTGATTGAACGGCTCGACTACGCAGCTGCATATATATATATGCCTAGATCGCCATTTCTGGCTGAGATTGAAGTGGGCCTCAGAAAATCTTCAAAACGCAGCCGGAGGAACACCTGCAGACCTGAAGCGCCCGTCTGTCCGTCCGTACAACTGTGACCCCCGACCCCCGGCCCCCAGCCTCCCGGAGCTTCTTCTTGCGCTTCACCACCTCCCGCTGCGCCGGCCACGGCAGCGACGCCACGTCCTCCGCCGGCCGTTTGGCCAAGGCACGCAGCGCCGCCGGGCTGAGCTGCAGCAAACGCAGCACCTGCCGAAAAGGAATGGTGGGTGGAGCCGTGAAGGGGGGTTGGGGGGGGGGGGGGGGTTGGGGAATGAGG